TGTACTACATTATATTACATCTTTGGTCTCTTTGTGGTGACCCTTTAAACCCTGCTTTTTACTCTCTCTGGTTTCAAAGCAATTTGTCACTAGCATTCTTTCATGTTTAGCAACTGTTTGTAGTCAAGTGCTTTGCAAGCTCTGTTTCTTTTCTCCCAAAGAGTGTCATCACGGAGTTGATGATGCATCAGAAATAGTTTGACCAAAGGGCAAGATAAAGTCAAGAGTAAAGAAAATATTTGCAAATATACTTGACTGGCTTTTTCCCCCAATTACTTACTGAACGTATACTTTTAAGGTAGAATGACCTGATGGCCATTGCAGAAACGACATACAATAGCTTAGCACATGCAATAGCTACTTTCTGCCACCAGGCAAGGCCTTTAATTTAAATCATTTTTATGTGAGTATGGCGTGATTGACAGATACACATAGAAGGAGTTGGATGCAATGTCTAGGCCTCGGCTATCCCTTATCTTTGCTGACTAATAGCCTGCATCTTGATGGTGTTCTGTTGGTATTATGGATATAGTTTTTCATATTTTGTTTACCTGCTATATAATCAGTGTTTACAAAAACTAGTCATTAAAAATATATTGTCCTCAAATAAACGTGAAACTACAGCCTTAAATTGAAAACTTGTATGCAACATCATTGCTGTCTGAGTTTATCACTGAATCGCAAATTATTCAGTGAACTTGTTTGATGCTCTGAAAAGTTAATTTTTAAAAATTATTTATTGAGCACCTAATATATCGTAAACAAAACATTATCTTCATTAGTTCTCACAGTAACTTTATAATCTAGAAATTATTTTCCATATGATCTTTCCAATTCTCCAGTATCTTTTTTTTTTTATTTTCAGGCAAAAATGAGATAATTATTTTTAAAAAGTCATTGGATTTTCTCCTCCCCTCTTTCCAGAGATTTTGGGAAATTCAAACACTAAATCAGAAAGGACATTCTTATTTTTTTGTTTTTCCCTTTGATCTATAGCATTTCCAGAACGACAACAAAAAAAAAAATGGATATAAAAGTAAATTTAGTACATTTCCTAGGATGTAGATGTATTGGACATATCCAGACTCCCTGCAGGTCTTTAGCCACAAGATTGCATTACTTATCATAAATTTTAAACCTGTGTTTTTGTACTGAGTTCACATTTACACTACTAATAATGTGTTCAGCACAAGTCATTTCTAGAGAATTAAGTCTTTGCAGTCAGTGAGTTAAATCCCTATGAAATAACCTATAGGTGGCCCCGTTCCCATTCACCACAAGTATAGAATTTCAGATCAATAGCTGTGATACTTGGATTTTGAAATATGAAAACATCTTTAGTGTTTCTATTGTTTTTTAAATTTTTCCTAGTGTTTTTATTATTCCAATAGGTGTTATCAGACAAGGGATCACTGTGGCAATTGCAGGTTCTTATCATAATGTTTATATTTGGTCCAAAAGGGAAAGATTTAAAAAAGTAAACCACATCTGTTCACTTTTTTTGGAAGAGGGAATTAATTTGATGCACGGAACCGGCTGTCCATGTGATGGAAGCAGTTAAGGGCCAAATAAGGAAGAGTGAGGTAAGCAAGAAATTAGCCATCACAGGGTAGTCACTACTTGTGGAAGGGCAAAGAGAAGAGAAGAGGGCTTGCATCACCAGATGGAAGCCGGAACCACGGGGGACTGCCCAGTCAAAATTGAGGTCAGGATGAGATAGATTCTCAGGTAGAGAAGCTAACTGAGGCTTATGGGTCAGCAAAGGAGAGTGAGTGGATGATAAACTATTAAGTTAGCTGACCTTTTCCTTCCCTCTCCCCACTGCTATCTATTGCCAGAGCTTCCACTGCTGCACCAGGTAGCCAGCCCTCAAAAACATGTGCAAAATACAATTTCAGGGTCAACCCTCCTATGATACAGAGCACAGATATGAAGGGTGAAGATTCAATAGCCCAAACCCAGCATATATAGCCCAAACCCAGCGTATATAGTCAAAGAAGCCCAAACCCAGCATATATAGTCATCTTAGTGAATTTACATTTCCTGGCTGCTTCTTTTATACCAAAGGCCAAGGATTGGAAGTAGACTGTTGGGATTTTTCACTTACAATTTTATTTTTTTTTAAAGATTTATTTTTATTTATTTATGCAGACAAGAACTGGGGTGTAAGCCGGAAGTACAGGGGGTGAGAGGATTCACCAGAGAGAGAGTGGGGAGCAGAATAGGCAGATCTACTTAAATTCACTGTTGACGGGAGCAGAGGGTGAGACAGGAGAGGCCTACCAGCCTGGGACTCAGTAGAAATGTCTTTATAGTTTTGGGGGTTTTTTGTTTTTTCACTCAGTTGGTATACTATGGGGTAATATTATTCCTCTAGTATGGTTTTGCCATTGCCAAAGGAAGTAGGAGACTGTTCTTCCATTACTTAAGGATATTTAAATATGAACTACAATCTAGAATTGAATTTAGAACATGAACTAAATTTGTAGGGTCGTTCCAAATACACATGGGTTAGTGAACATACTGTTCTGTTCAACACCATAGCATACTTCTTAGTCATATTATTCTGTTCATTACTCCTTCCATATAACATAATAAAAAATGGCTAAATACTATCCTGAGCTAGCTGAGGCAAGGTTACTGAGAATGATTTCATTCTCCTTTCCTTGAAATATGAAGGAAAACCCTCCTGTGGTTTCTAGATGACTTTCTCAAAGCTGATCTGCAAACATTGTTAGCATTTACAGTATCTTACAAGCGTAAAGAACTACCTTAAACACTATCTCATTGATTTTCGTTATAATCCATTTTATGGGTGTTGGCAAAAATTCTTCAATAGCCATCAGTCACTGTCTAGTATAGGAGGCTGCCTACCTCACTTCTCTTGTATATTTTGATCATGTCTGTATTTCTGAAATTCTGTTCTATTTGGAATTGAGTCCTGGGATAATAAATAGATGGTCATTCTCTTTATGAAAATTCAGTGGACATGTCCTCATGGATTCTGAAGGCCTGCTCCCCATATCACTTAACATAAGGGAGTGGCATACTATATATCTAGCATCAGATGAGCTAAAGAAAGCTTAACTGGGTATTCTGTGTCATGGTCCTCAAAACAGCACATATAAAAGGATGTTTTCAAATAAGATAATCTTCAGGTAAAAGTATGGAGATCACAATGTGAAATTAGTATGACTTCTTTATCCATAAACAGAGACAGGTACCTACTGATTCAATATTTGTATATATTGTGAAATGATCACCACAATAACTCTAAAAAAGAACCAAGTTCATAAATACCTAGAGGATAGATAAGTGTCTGTCAAGGCAGGGGTGGCAGGTGAGCAAAATAGGCAAAGGGAATCAAAAAGTACAGACTTTCAGTTATAAAATAAATGTTATGAGGATGATATGTATAACATGGTGACTATAATTAATGCTGTATTGCATATATGAAAGTTACTCTGACAGTAAATCTTAAACACTCTCATTGCAAGAAAAAAAAATTATTAACTCTGTGTGGTGACAGATGTTAACTTGAGTTATTGTGGTGATCATTTCACAATATATACAAATATTGAATCAGTATGTTTTACACCTGAAACTAATATAATGGTATATGTCAATTATATCCCAATTTAAAAAGAAGAAGTTAAGAGAATCTGGAAACTATAAAATACTGTTCTTGAGAAGCAGAAGGTTCACGAAATTAAAAGTCTTGATGGGATAAAAGCTCCAACCTCACCTCAAAATCAGTGATTAGAGTATTTCGATTATATCAAACAACCACAACAAAACCAGAACAAGAAAATCTGAAATTTTGAGCAGGCTACAAAAGAAAGACCTTGGAAGAATAAACTGCTTTATTCCTCTTGAAATCATTTTGCCAGAGCTTTAAACAAGTATGAAGACTGTTGAAATGAAAAACAGAATCAAAAGGCATACCAAGAGTCTCCAATGTGGGCTCCCCAAATCCCCACTCTTACTCAGTAGAACACTGCACACAGCCATCCAAGATCAGACCTCCTAAGTAGAGTGTTTTTTTTTTTTTTCCTTCTTGGAGATTTCTCTTTTTTGGACTTTAATTAAACTCCTGCAAGGCTTGCAAACTTTTAAACTTACCTTTCCTTCTTCTTACTTTATTCCTGAATCAACTTGCTTGGCAGGAAACTTTTCCTAAACTGTCACAGTTATAGTAATTGTACACTAAGATATTAAATTTAGAGATGCACTAGTAGATGCTTCTCCAAGCTTCAGTAGGAGAAATTTCCATGCACTTGGAAGGATTTTCATTCATTCATTCATCCATTCATTCATTTTTACACAACTACATGTCTATATGTCGTTTTATGAATGAAAAAATAGTAGAAAATGAAGTTTCACAGGGTGTGCTGGGACTATTTGTTAGTAGTGATATAACACAATCTCCCAACAGGTCTCTAGTTTAACAGAAGAAACTGGTCATTATTTAATTTAATAATTATACTGTGCATAAATAAACTGTAACCAACTTATTACAGAGTTGGTAGGTGGAAGGTGAGTGGATAAAGTGATTTCTCAGTTGATGACTTAACACTTCTCTAAAGGTATTATTTAATTCACTTAAGTTTGTTTTCAATATTCCTTGTACTCCTTTAAAGTCATTGTTAATTCTGACAGAAAGAGGTTGGGACCGGGGGTGTCAAAGATGACCCCTTTAAAGTATATTCTTTGAGAAGCTATTTTCATTTGAGAAGCGTTAGTGAAAAATTGGTGGCCACTCTAAACAGGATGGCCATTTTTTCTTAAAAAAACAAAAACCCAAAAAAACCACTCAGATAATATTGCAAGGCCAGAAATAAAAACAAGCCATCAAAGCCACGAAAACTAAAATGAAAGATGTGAAGCATGGGGGTGGTTATTACCCCTGCAATTGCTATTATCATCATTCTTATTATTTACTTAATAATTCCACGCCACCAGTTTACTCCACCAATCGCTCCCGCCTCTGAGGAACTTACTGATGGCTTCCACAAACTGCTCAAAGAAGCTGTAAGGGAAGAGCGGCTCAGGCAGCTCCCGGAAAAACATCTTCAGTGCTCCGGTGACAACGTGGATGTCCTCCCACTGGCTGTCGTCCAAATTCAGCTTCTCTTCTGGGAAAACACGAGGAGAAATGGAACAACTGGTTTTAATGAAACAATTACAAGACACTAATTATTATGTTAATGTTTGCCTACTATCATCAGCAGCCGTTAACAGCCTTCTGCACCTAGAGGTTTGGTGCTGTGCGTGTTTTTTTTCCCCCCCTTTTCCGTAGGAAGGGAACATTTTCAATGGAATACCATCTGTAGGAATGCAGCTAACAAAAAAACAAGAGACACAAAGAGACAGTGCCATTGACACAGTATGTCAGATGCATTTATTCCCATAATGCATCAGTATGAAAATTAGCATCAGAGCTCAACATGATTCAAAGCTATTTGGTTTTGAGGCCGAGGGGCTAAGAGTTGCCAATGATGGCCGGCTCAAGGGACCGGCCTAAAGGCCTTGCTGAGCCAACAGGAGACATATGCTAAACATGGCAATAGAAAATGAGTTATTGCTTTACATGTGTTAGCCTTGCTATGTACAAGGGAATAATGGGTAACACTTTTTTCCTTTTTTTGCTGAATATAAAGTCAGTAAGGAATAGAATACTGAGCGAGAAAGGCTATTAATTCCTTCTTACTGCTTCAAAAATATCTTTTTTTTTTTTTAGTTTCATCTCCGCGAGGAAAATGTGCCCAGCAACAATATTAGACAGACCCCTGTTGGCCTACATAGGCTATGCAAAGCTGTCAAAAATGATAACACACTAAAGACAAACCACAAGTGCTTCCCAACTCCACTCAGAAACAACAGAAATGTTTGCTTGGGAAGCTTGAGTGAGTTGTGATATTAAAATATTGAAGAAAAAAAAATTGCCAAAGAGAAGTTTTTAGAAGAAACAAAAAAGATGCCGGGCAATTATTTTTTTCCCTTTTGTCCTCAGCATGGAAGTTGGAATCATTCTCACTCAAGAAGGGGATGCAGTAGGGTCTGAAGTGACATCTTTACATGCAACTGAAAGAAGCATAGCTCGAAAGCACTGCTGCTGATTCATAGTATTTGTCTTTCCATTCGTGAGGCATGGAACACATTTTGAATTCTGGGCTTAATGAACACTAAAGCTAATCATGTTAGACAACCTGGGGGTTAACTGAAAAGACAAGTATCCTGGCAAGAACTGAGCAGGAATTTGGTCAACTGGAATTATGTTTCTTTAGTGATGTCCTGGGCTCACATTCGCATGCCCATTTGGTGTCAGTTTTATGAATGCAGAGGAAAATTTGCACCAAAAATATAAGAAACACTGAGAATTGTCACTGTAGGGGATCTCTGCATGGGTTGTTTTACAAATAGTGTTCATGTCTTTTTAAAAATATTAGCTGAAATCTTTATCAAATCTGTTTTTCTAAATGGACTATAATTTCCAGAGCTAGTACATAACGTTTCCGTTCAATAGGATGTCTGTAAAGAGTAGGAGTGAAGGTGGATTGTATATTTCAGATGGGCTATTTTCTTCTTCCCTTTCAGTCTTCCTTCCTACCTCAATCATAACACAATGATATGATCCACAACAAAATCAGCAGAGGAGACCTTCTTTCTGCCCTGCAATCATTTTTGATTGATTGTGTTTCAACAATTAGTCTTTTATTTGGCTACACACTATTGAAATAGGCCGACAGCATCTTAGCAGGCCAGCTTTAAACAGTCAACTGTTAACAATAGCATCAAAAAGGGAGACCTGATGGGGTTTACTGTCACTTTAAAGAACGGGGTTTTCACATTGTTGAAATCTGTCAGATATTTTGAAATGTCCCTCTCACTATGGTGCCACACCCCCTGCGTGCCCTTATAATAAAATTGGTTTTACTCCTGATTAAATCATTTTCTCCCTACCCACTACCATACTTCTCATAATGGACCTGTGCGCTCTACAGCTGGTGTTCTTCCCATGGTACCAATTCTTACTTTATCTTTTAAGCACTTTGCTGCTAAGATCTCATGCAGAGTGCTTATGTTTTGTTAAGAGCTTCATTCTTAGAGAAATAGCTTAACACATGTTCTAAAAATGTTGTACAACTTATTGCTTAAAACACATTTAGAAAATGTATAAGTACTGTAGCTTTGGCACTGAACTTTAAGTGGAAACCTAAACACACATATACACACATATGCTTGCACACACACACACAACTATCTATACCAAAAAATTATTAGAAAAGTTCAATACAAAATGCCACTTGGAGCATAGGTTTGAGATTGCCAAAGGAAAGTTTTCAGCAGGTAAAGAAGAGAATGACATTTATTTTGAGCAAGAAAACAAGAACAAATTATTACTTGACCAATGGGAAATGCCATTGATATTTATCACCTCCATATATAATCACCTAATTGAAGAGATTATGAAAATGGAATAGTTCAGTATATATGTAAAAGAAAATTTACTGACAATAAATACAATTTGGTTATGAGCTCTGGAAATGCCATACGATATCAATATCAATTTGTGTCACTTAAACCACATCCCCACTATGGATATTTATGTTTTCTCCATTTTGAGAGCAAAAAAAAAAAAAGAACAAAAAAAAGAAATTGCAGCTCTCTAACAAGTAGCTTAAATAAACAATATGGCAAGTAGTTTGCAAGAGTCTTTTGGAATATAAAATATAATTTTTTATATTAAGTTTTTCATAACCAACCAAAGAGCATTAAGGGATATTTTCAAGGTCATGATGATTTATCAAATCATACAGTTATGTCCTATTTGTATGGCTGTTCATGAAACCAACCAGTTCTTGAGTTTAACTGACCATAGCTCTCTCTCGGTGTGAACATGTATCACTATTTATAAGATCATTTGTATTATCTAATAGGCCTTTCTAACTGATCTGTTAGTAGTGATCATGTCCTATGCTTTTCCTTTTCCCTACAGAGCAGGATTTCTCAACAGTGATAGATCATTGGCATTTGGGGCTAAAATCATTCTTTGTTGTGGGGACATTCTTTGTAATCTAGGATGTTTAGCATCCTTGATTTCAACCTACTAGATGGCAGTAGCATTTCCCAGTCATGATGATGAAAATTAACCCCAGATATTGCCAAATATCTCATGGTTATCTGCAGTTGAGAACCACTATAACAGAGCCTTTAAAGGTCTTAGCAGTTAAAACCTAAGTGTTGATTTATGGAGTTTTCTTTTAGGTGGGCAGGTAGATACATACATAAGTAGATATACACATACTGAGATTTAAATATAAACTTAAGAGTTAATTATTATTGAAAAAAAACATAACTTTTTACTGAACAAAATTCAAATGACCACATATTAGGGTACTCTGTAGTAAAAACAATAATAACCAATTATGTAGTATTCACATTGTTCTAGAGGCTATGCTACACACTTTATGTCTATTATCTAATTTTTTTTTAAATAAAACAGTGAAATGCATGCTATTGTTAGTGTCATCTCCACTTTGTAGATAGGGAAAAAGAGACATGGGTACTTAAGTAACTTTGCATGGCTGACAGATGAGGAATCCAGGATGGGAAGCCAGAAAACCCCCACTCAAAACCACTATGATCAGACTTAATGGTGGCTGGCAGAAGCTGAAAGGAAAAAGGCAAATAAACAGTAATTGCAGGTGGTAGTGGATTGACTATTACTTCAAAGATGGCCACTTTTACATTTTATACCTAAATGTCTTTCTTGAGGCTATGTTTTTACCTATAAACTGACTCTGATCATTCGTAACTACTCATTTATAGAAGGCACAGATTCTTATGTAAACAGATTTAAAGCAAATTGGCAATAAAAATAAACTGCATTAGGAAAGGACAAAGATGGAACAAATTATTATGTGGTGATAGGGTAAAGAGGAAATATCACAGACTGGGAAAGAGGTTATACTAAATGCCAGCCCTGGATTTACCGTGAATTCATTGTGTATCTGTTTACTTATTCGAAAGAAAGGAAGTTGTAGGTATCAAATAAAAATTGTCATTGAAAAACACTTGGAGAACACAAGGAAACAAACATATTCAAGATCCCCCTATGGTGGGAAAGGAGAATAAAGGCCCCAAATGCAAAATATGTAAGAGACTAAGGCAATGGAAATAGTGAGCAAATACCACAATCAAACAGAGGATTTAGCTCAGAGTGAAGCAGTTTGTCTATCACTTGGGTCAACAGAAGCTTTACATACTGGTGTCCAATACTGGGAAGAAGTCTGGTTGACTCAAGATATTTCATAATCCTCACGCGAATAATCTGTGCTGATTTCTCCTGTCCCATAATTAGGCTATCTTAAATTCACTTTGGTCATGGATTGGCTTAAAGTATGTAAACAGAATTGAAGAAAGACTAAGCTCCGGGGCATCCCCTGGTGGCAGCGGTTGAGCGCTGGGTTGCGAAGCTGCCCGCGGCCTCTGCGGCACCGGTTCAATCCCCGGCTGCTCCCCGGCCACCGGAAGAGGGTCCCACATGGCGTGCAGACCTCTCCTGCCGCCCGCTGCTCCCCTCAGCAGTGTACTTCGGTCCTTCTGCCTGCTCTGCTCCCCGCTCTGGCTCTGGTGAATTCTCTCACCCTCCCGCGCTTCTGACTGTACCCAGTGCTTGTATAAATAAATAAAAATAAATCTTTAAAAAAAAAAAGACTAAGCTCCAGAATCCAGATATAATGTGACTTTTATGAGTTCACAAAAATTAAGTCTAAATGTTTAACTAAACAAGGCTATCTTGAAATGCCCTTTCTTGTAGGCTCTTTAGTAGATTTTATTTTTATATATATTTTTAAAGACTAGAGTGGCATTTTCTTTTTTTTTTAAAGATTTATTTATTTATGCAAGCACTGAGTACAGTCAGAAGCGTGAGAGGGTGAGAGAATTCAGCAGAGCCAGAGCGGGGAACAGAACAGGCAGACTGAACAGAACAGGCAGCCTGATGAAATACACTGCTCAGGGGAGCAGCGGGCGCACAGGAGAGGTCTGTCATGCCATGCGGGACCCTCGCCCCGCAGCTGGGCATCAAACCGGCGCTGCAGGGGCTTCAGGCAGCTTCACAGCCCAGTGT